GATAATTCTTAGCCTTGTGTATTGGGATGCATTTTTTTGCTACAGAGATAAGGGAGTCTTGAAAAAGGTCCCAGGATGAGTTAAGACGACTCTGAGACCAGATAATGTTGGATGATATATGTTTCAATGAGTTGGAGTTCAGATTCTTTTCTAAGTCGTTTTTAAATTTAGACCATTTTGAATCGTCTATTAGATTGTAATTAAAGGAAGATTTAACTGGGCTTTTCCTTGTAGATATTGAATGTTTTAAGAAATTAATTATTTTTGTTGAGATTATATGGTGATCTGTAAAGGAAGAATCTATTTGAGTAGTTTTACAATCTAGTATATTAAGCGCTAAAAAATTATTTATAAAAATGGAAATACTATGTAATACATACATTAATTTTCTATTTTTAGTACAATTTGTACATATGACTTTTAGTCTAAATTTTATACACTGGTCCTAGTCCTTAACTTCACTATAAAGTTATAGTAAAGATTTTAAGAGATTTGATTGGCTAATTCATTATAACAAAAGTATTTTTATTATATTTGTTCAAAAAATTTATTATATTAAGAGTTTGCTATATTAAGAGTTGACAGTAGTGATATTTTTATTTTATTAATATTATTATTATAATCTCTATTATTGTTATCTACTACATAATTTTTATCACTAATATAATTACTATAATTATTTTTATTATTATTATTATTATTATTATTATCTTTATATTTCATTATTATCATCTTATTCATTTTCTTTATTATTACTATAATTTTTCTCTCTTTCTTATTTTTATTTATAACAAATTATCTAAAACAATTACTTTATTTTTTAAGTTTTTTTTTAATTGAAACTTATTATTATTATCTTTTAATTATTAAAGTTTACTATTATAAAAACAGTATAAGAAAATTATTTTTTTAAAATTAGTAATCAAATTTAGTATTAATATTAATGATAAGATTTTATTATTAAAAGTAAATTTTTATAAAACAATTTTTAATTTTTAAAAAGTTTTATAGATAAAGCAAATATTTAAAATTTTTTTTGCTTTTAAGAATTTTGTAAAAAATAATTTGTGATTTTTTAAAAAATTTTGCAAATAAAAATAAATTTTTTGCAATTTTTTTATAATTTTCTAAGAATTTAATAATTTTTTATTATTAAATTTAAAGCCTTAAGTCAGATCAGGTCAATCTATTATTAACTTAATTTGATTTAACAAAATTTAAGTTAACTAATTATTCTTATTAAATAATAACAAATTATTTAATTAGAATAATAATAAATCATTTTTCTTGAATGATAACTAATTATTTAATTAGAGTGATAATAAATTAGTTTTCTTGATTAATAAGAACAGTGATATTTATTATATAATATTTATTTATTATAAGTTTATACCTTCTTACCTTCTGTCTTATAATAATCTTATATATATAATATATATTAATTTATATTATATTATAAATATTAAGACTTTTCAATTATTTACTATCTTTTAAATATTATATAATAAATGTTACTACTCTAATTAATTATTTAATTAGAATGATGATAAATTATTCTTTTTAAATAATAACTAATTGTTCAATTAGAATAATGATAAATATTTTTTTTGAATGATAGTTAGATCAGGTTAAATGAAAATTAAAATTAAGTTAGATTTTGTTTAAACTGACCTGATTTTCTTAGTTAGTAAAAATACCATTATCTAATCCTAATAGATAGCTTAATTGATTTAATTTGAACTTACTTGTTTAGAGTTTTAGTTAAATTATTTTATAATTACTGTAAAATAATAATCTAACCATTTTTTTCTTATTTTTTAACAAATTTGACAATTTTCTAGTAGTTTTTTCTTTTATATTATAATAAATAATACTTATATTCTTTATTTTAGTTATAATTACATTTATAATTTATAGTTAATCATAAATTTATTTTTATTATTATCATATCTTCTTTATTTATTTCACAAAAACTGATTTATTTCAAAAACTATTATAAAGTAATTTTTATTTATTTTATTATAAAAGATTTATATTAAAATATATTAAATAAATATAAAATAATATATTTAATAGTATTATAAAAGAATTATTAAATTACATATGTAAATATAAATGCATTATAATTAAAAAGAAGAAAACTACAAAAAAAAATAAATTTACTTTATATATTAAACATAAAATATTTTCAGATTTAAAAAAAAAATTTTTTGAAGTTTCTTATTATTTATTACAAAGTATCTTTAAATTTAAAAATCAGTAAATTTATGAAATATTATTAAAAAAGAATTAATTAATTTATAAGCTAAATATGTCTTTTAAAAAATATATATTATATCAAACTGTTTTAGATTTTATTTTTCTAATTTTTGTATTATTATGTATTGTATTTATTATATGATTTTTATAAAATTTAAAATTCAATTAATATACTTAATCTATTTATATAGTAATAAATATAATTACTTTAACAATTAGCTTTAAAATTCTTTTAAATATATAGCTGTAAAAAGAATATAAAATCAAATATTATTAAAAATTAGTTAAAGTTTATAAAAAGATCTTATTAATTTTAATAAAAATAATGGTAGTAAAATAAGAAAATTAACAATAAAAGTATAAGTCAAGTAACCGGTAAATTAACCAATTTATAAATAACCGTTATTTTTTTCCATCCCTAAATAATGGATTGCTTATTAATATTGAAATAACCGAATAATTCACGTCTGACATCAGTGTCATATCTTTCCCACATCTTTTCCTTATGAAACGATGATTTATGAGTTTACTTTTAGATTATTAAACGATTTATGTTTACTATTTGGATCACAAATATTATTTTTTGCATTTGGATGGGTTTATTTAGTAAAAAAACTATTTAAAGATTATGAATCGTCTATTGACAGACATGATGTTCAATTCGTTCAAGCAATATTTTCACTTACCTTCAGCACAAGTTGTGCCTTGTTCGAATTAATCATTTTTGAGATTATGGACATTATGCATAAAGAGTAAATTCCTCTTATAATTGAAAAGATAAACATTTTATTTTAATGCAAAAAAACTTTTTTTTAACATTTTATGAAAATATAAATTTTTAGTTCACGATACATATGTTGGAAAATAACTCTCTACGTGTCACTTTTCCTTGTAATAATGTTGATTCCAGCTTATCAAGTATATCTTATAATGGCAAATATACGAGAGAGTTTACCTCGAAGATATTCTATAATCATAACAGTTGTATGTTGGTTAACATATTTTTATGCATTTTGGAGGGTTGGTGATTTTTTCCCAATCAAAAACACAGAAAAAAGTAAGTTTATCTAATTAAAAAATTTTTTAATAATTTAGAATAATCAATGACATTAACTGATTTGATAGAATCAATACCCGATGATGCATTTATACAATTTGGAATGAGTCGCGTAGGAGTAATTGGTGTTACTATAATGGCAATATTGTCAGGATTTGGAGCGGTAAACAGTCCTTATGCCACGTTATTTTTTTTTTTAAGACAAGTTAAGGATGCAGACATTCAAGCAGCCGAAAAAAAATACCTTCATAATTTGGATATAATATTAAGTAAGAAGAGACGTATAATAGTTTCACAAGTGCGACAAAGAACTACAAACGAACAAAGTTCAAGAGTTGGTGGATTTATGCGTAAAATGTTTAACACCATGGCAAATGGAATTGGAATGGGTAGTGAAAGTATTAGCATGTTACGACAAGAAATTACAGGGCTTGAGAACCTAAGTCGACAATTATTTTTAGATATCGAAGATTTATATCAAGAGAGAGATCGGATACTTTATTCGAAAACATGGCAAGGAAAATATTTTAATTTCATGGGATATATTTTCTCAATTTATTGTATCTACAAGATTATAATGGCAATTGTCAATATTGTTCTGTTTCGTGTGGGAAAAACTGATCCAATTACATACGGGTTAACATTAACGATTGCCTATTTTAATATCAAAGAAAGAGAAATTGATATTGATTTTTGGTATCAACAATTAAGCTTTTTTACGGTTGGACTCATGATATTTTTTTCTATTCGAGGATTATTAATTCAATTCCTAAAATTTTTCAGAGCAGTTTCAAATACCGTATCAAGAAATAACATTGTTTTATTTCTTGCACAAATTATGGGAATGTATTTTCTTAGTTCTGTATTGATGTTAAGAATGTCATTACCAGAAGTATATAGAAATAAAATCACAGTGTTATTTAAATCAGTTGATATTGCATTTTATCATAGATGGTTTGATGTGATATTTCTTGTTAGTGGAATAGCAAGTATGATCTTTTTGTATTTTGTACATCAAGCAAATAACAATAACGTCATGTTAATCAGCACCAATTCATCTATAATGACACCTTCTGGATCATCAACTCCATCAAATTCACCTGGATCTTCAAATGGAAGTTTTACGATAAATTCTTCTAATTCTCACAATTCACCTGGGGAATGGGAATATGCGGGTGGCGGAGGTGGTAAATGGTCTTCAAGCAATAATTTATATCATCGGGGCTAATTAAGTAAAGGTTCAAATACTTTATTATCTAATTCCAATAAAACCTGAATATCTTTCTTTATGTTCACATTATTTTGTTCACAAGCCAATTTTAATAGTTGACATATGTTACGAAGTGATTTCTTTAACGGGTCGTTATTAAGGTTAAAACGTATCATTTGATTCCATGATGTTGCTGTAGATTTCAATATGAGTCCTTTGTATTGTGATATCCTGATAAAGAAGGGGAGGTGGATATATTTAAAAAATTTTCAAGTAAAAAAAAAAAATTATCCTATACAAATTATAACTTACCTAGGCCAACATACACCGATGATCTTTTCTAATCCTTTTGCTGCTTCAAAATGTAATTCTAACATTTGTTCTTTTTTGGTAAATTCAAGAGGGAACTCTAAAGAATCGCATATTACATGTATTAATTCTTGTAAATATTTAACTGTAACAATTCCTAATTCTTCAGCAAGTTTAGGAATTTGTTGTAATAATATAATGCGAATCACAATTTTATCTCCTGAAAAAATAAACCCTTTTACTACATTATTAGATAAAATTTGTTCATATTTAATATATCGTGTTTCAGAGTTTGTCCGTTCAGTTAAAGAAATCAATGAAATTATGGCCGAAAAGCTTTGACGTAATAAAGAAACGTGTGATGTTTCACTTTGATAAGTTAAACATTTACTCAATGCTTCGTGAAAAACATCTCCCAATCCTGTTTGATGTATAATATTTGGTTTTAATTTTTTTAATAGATGATCCAATATGGAAACACCTCGTGTCTTGAAATCCACATTATAATCATCAATAAGTGATAAAGTTGGAGGGATAATAAGTCCAATAGTTTTCTCAATCTCTGAATTCTTAAATCAATATTTATTTGAATTATTAGATATCAGCTCTCATTTATATTTTTATCAAATAAAGAATTAAGTAAATTTAAAATGTACACGTACTTTTAAATGTAAAATACACCAAAGTAAAAGATTAGAACATTGTGCTACTTCTCCTCTCCATGATTCATTCGCACTATCAAAATCAACCGTTTTTCTTTTCGATTTTCCATTTCTTCTTTGATCAACATTCACAGGATACTTTATAAACGTTGGTTTTACGTATTTTTCGAGTATTTTTGGTACAAACGTTTGGATCATACGCGTCACAGTTGGAAACCGATCTGGTTGAATGGTAATCAACAATTCGATCGTCGCTTTTTTTTTTAAAAAAAAATCAGTTTCAAATATTTCAAATAATTTACCAAATACAAAATCGAATGTAAATAAATATAATTTGAACTACCAATTGCATTTTTATTTAAATTAGGATTTGTCCATAATTCTTCTCCTATAAACGTTGCACATGTTACAATTATTTGCATTAAATCATCATCATCTAATTTGTTATCTGAATCGGAAGAAGCTGATGTATTCTTGATTAATTTCTGTAATTCTTCAAATGTCGCTTCTGCTTGAATGTTAAAGGCATCCGCTATTCTCGATATGTCAGTATTTTTTGATATTAAATAAAATATTTTGTGTTAATTCACTCCTAAAAGTAAATGATAAAAGTTTCAAGCACCTGTTGTAGATCCCGAATAAACGGGAATTCGTAATATCTCGCAAAATTTAACCACTTCATTTTTTAGACTTGACATTTTCTGAAAAAAGAAAAAAATTTTTTTTGAAATCTTTAATCTAGATTCTTGCTTAATTTGGAAAGTTTCTACAAATAATACACGATCATATGTTAATTTACCTTATTTGAGTAAAAATGGTCATTTTTAAGTTCGCTTGAAAAAAATTTTTTTTTTTTGGCAAATCCCATACTCATATCCCATATTTCATTTCTCAAATCCCACTCACAAAGTGAGGTTAATGAGAAAAAATATAATTAAATTCTGATCATTAGTTGTGACAGTACTGTTTGTTAAAATTTTGATTTAAGGAATAGACAAGTATCATTTACGGTAAGTCTTGTGAACAATATTTCGACTTATACGACTAATAACTAACCAACCTTTCGACCTATTTCTTATATAAAAAAGCGAAGCAATAAGTCATCATATCGTGGAATCTTGAGTATACATCGCGATACCATCGTTGTTTCGACTCTTGGATTAAAAAAGTTTTATTTCTTGAAAATAAGATAGCGTTTTTGCAAAGGGAGGGAAACTCCACGTCTTGCTCAGGATAATTACTCTATCTGTTTGCTAGGTATCCACTCCAATCCTCATTGTGTAATAAAGGGTCTACTGATTCTGGGGAAGAATCGGTTATGCACCTTCCTTTATTACTAAATAAAAAATTTTGAACTGCTAAAATTGTTATTTCCATAACAGGTAGAATCGAACGTTCGGAGGGATGGTTTAAGCCGTACTTGGAAGGAGTTATCAAGGAATGTGAAAAGGTGGTTAATAGATTATGAAACTCTTGTGTATTTGGTGTATTGATTATACTTTTCGCTAAGATAAATCTGATTATTATTGTAGAATCTTGCGAAATGTGATCAAAGAGAAAGAAAACATTCGATCACAAAAAAAGATGCTTAAAACAACTTTTGATTCTTTCGAAAAGGATTTCTTTATCAGCAGTCATTCACAATATTTTACCAAATTTGAGTTGCATAATAAGTCAAACTCAAGCACTGAATCTAAGAACATACTTAGAACATCATACCTATTTTTTAAAAAGAATGAATTTTTCATGTCAAATCTGTCAACATCAAACATATTAAAAAAAGAACAAAGGTTTTTTACCTTAAACTATTGACATATAACCGTGGGTTTGGGGAATGATAAGTGACATTTTAAAGGAGAAAGATCATTGGTTTTCTGTGAATACCAATTTATACCAAGCCAATTTGAAACATGATAAGAAAACTCCATTCCTTGTTGAAGAAGCATTAGCAATTTGGATAGATAATGCATTTAAAGCTGGCCTCATTATTACTGACAATATTCTTTCAACTAAAGTTTTGAGTTTTGCTTATTTATTAAAGGAGGATAAGTTTAAATGGTCTAGTGGTTGAGTGGATAACTTTAAAAAATGATACAACCTTAAACAGTATTATATATACAGGAAAGTTGTAAGTACGTTACTTAAAGATCTTGAAACAATAAAAGAGAATATTAAAAAATTATAGTCCTGAAGACATATTATATTGTGATAAAATAGGACTATTTTAGAAGATGAAATTATGTCAAATGATATTCAATGAATAAACATTAGGAACAAAACATTCAAACAATTATATAATGATTTTATTTATATGCAATGCAACGGAAAGTGAATAGTTGATGTCTTTGTTTATATATAAATATAAAAATCCTAGAGTTATTAAGAATATTGATAAAAAAACACTTTCAGTTGAATACTATTAGAACTAAAAAAAATTGAATACAGTTTCAATCTGAAATGAGTACATAAAAAAACTTGATACAAAAAATGAGAAAACAAAACTGAAATATTCTCCTTCTTGTAAATAAGGCTTTAATGCATGCTCTTTAGTGTTCCGCAAAATTGGATCAGATCGGATTTTATCCAAATCCGATCCGATCTGATTTTCATTTTTCAGGATCCGAATCTGATTTGAATCTGACGGATCTGTTGAAATCCAGATCCGATCTGAATCTGATAGATTGAATCTTAAATTTGGATCCGACGGATCAGTTTAAGTCCAAATCCGATCTGATCCAAATCCGAAAGTATTATTGAAAAACGAATTTTCAGTTCTAAAAGAGATCTGAAAATGTTTCTTTTCAATGAAAGGAACCTTTTCGGCTCTAAAAGAGTTCCGAAAAGTCGTTCCTTTTCATTGAAAG